CCGGTCCCAACTGACCCCTGAGGAAGACCGCCCATTACCGGTCTCTACTAGGACACTGAGCCATTGACCATCACCCTCTGAGTGCGACCACCCAGCCAGTTCCTTACCCACCGAGTGGTCCATCTGTCAAACCCATGTCTCTCCAGTTTAGAGACAAGGATGTCGTGCGGGACAGCACAACATGTGACATGTTCATTTCTTTCCAAATTCTAATTTACGATGTCACCTACAAATGTGGGTTTGGTTTTTTTTTTTTTCTTTCTGAAGTGTATTTCCATTCCTTGGGATTCACAGCTTCTTTAGCTCCTAGTGCTTTATCTTATTGCTGGTTTCAACTTCTGGAGCTTGTAGCTTCAAAGAAGAATTTGTTTAATTAAAAAAAAAAAATTACAGCAATTACTACAGCTCTTACAGTGGGACTTTTGAGCACAAGAATGGGATTTTTGCTCAACCATTCAATGGAATAGAAAGAGTCACTCTATACTGACAATAACCTGTATCATCCACAGATGTGATAAAGAAAATGTAAGCAGATGGGACACATATGTTAATTATAAACATTCCTTCATTAGAGTCATCAGATTTATTTTTAAGGTATGTTTATGTTTAGAACATAAATTCATGAGGACGTGAAGTCATAAACATACCACACAGCCAATGACCTTATTAATCGGACACTAGTTACAACCACAAAACCAAACTCGTACGATGCTCTGTTGTGTTCTTGAGTCCTTCAGTTTGACTTGAACTTGAAACGATATGACTGAAAAGACCCAAAATTTGTTGTCAAATTACCTGACAAGCCTGCAATCACAGTTCATGCACTAGGGTGCATGACTGCCCAGCAGCATCAGGGAAAATGTTTTTCTTGCAAAGCACTGCAGTATGGAATAGGTAAACAGCTTTCCGCCTTCCCTTTCCTGAAAAAGTAAATACTGATCACAGCATCATGAAACAAATTTCATGGCTCGGTGGTCTAATTTGGGCAGCTAACCTGAGAATTGTGCTTCCCCCATCACCCTTTCAATTGCAGAAACTTCCATAATTCTCCATAAATTAACAGACTTCATATTCCATAGGGTATAAGAGTGGGATAGGCTTACGGGGGGGGAAGGAAGGGAAATAAAATACGGTCTGTGGATTTCATTTAGGACTGCTTCAAGGCCTGGGCATTATTAAACTAAGAACACCTACGCCATCTGCAACAACTACACAGCAAAGACAGAGAGACTGAAATAACCAACCAACTCACAGTTATTTATTTATTTTAAGGAACATATATCCCTCAGAGTCCAACAGACTGTAAAGAACTTGTTCACCAGAAAAATGTGTACTACTATGCTTGAAGTCTTCTGCTGCATACAAGCTGAGACATACTATATAAAAGAGACAGAAGTACTGGAATAAAATCCTGTCACCACTGGCAACAGTCAAAAACATCCCTGAATTCAGTGGGTTTGTGATTTCACCCTGGTAATTCACTTCTCCTTAAGACTAATAACGTGTATCCGAAAAAAATGACAGGTACTAGAAATCATTTGGGAGCAAATTATCTCACGATATTTTGGAATTGCTAAATCCAAACAGATTAGGCCTCCTGATATGACTTACCACCCAGAAACGCTGGGAAGCCCTTGATAATATCACACAACTGCATTTATTCACCATGGTTTGTCCTTAAGGTTTGATAAATTTAAGGAAACAGCCCACCAAGAGGATGGTAGAAAGGGCTTAACATTACTGGTGGACAAAACAGGCCTAACAGAGACACCGCACGGCCCATTTTAGCAAAACCTGGATCTCTATTATCCGAGTGCTAACATAAATGTCTCCAGAGAATGGCGCTCATTTTATTCTGGTTCTAGGGTACATAGGAATGTCTTCTATTACGATGTTTTGTAGTAGAATATTGGGTCTGCTGTTACCAGGATCAAAAGGATCTTTAACGTCCATTTACCCAGTCATATGATGTAGAACATATCATGTTTTCTGATGACTCCTACAGAGAGCTGCATTGTACTTGCAGTCCTATGGCAGTGTCACGAGATGTTAGAAGCAGACATATTCAAAATTCCTCAGTATCACTCCATGAAACCGGATAGTCTCAGGTGATTGATGGACAACTGCAAGGTCTGGGGCTCTGTTACCCAACAGTAACCTAGTACACCAAAACACAGCTACTCCTGTTGGGAACAGTATCTCATAGTCTTGACTTGCAGCATCCCACACATGGAGCTGTCTTATTGTAAGCTGCAGCAGGCATCTCTGGAGACTGGCAAATGAGTACAAAAATAAATCCAAGCTATCCAGGAGATCCTGTCACCTTTTAAAATGTTCTTACACAAAGGCACACCTGGAATTTGCACAACCTTGGACTCATTTCCAGAGGGACCTGTAGTTATATGGACATGAAAAATAAAAGGTGGCCCTGCAGGAAGATGAAATACCTCAAATAGTCCATCTGTCACCAGTTTACTATCCTTCATATAGAGGGAAAAGAAAGATCTCATAATCACGTATAAACAAGGAATCACTCAATATGCTCAGCAAAGATATTCTGGAATTGCTACTGTTGTTAAAAAGAATGATTTTGTTTTACATAAAATCTAGAAGAATATTTCATTTCTAAAATAAAGAAATTACATTCCAGCCTTGCAAAGAATTTATGTGTCCTAAATGCTGTGCAAGAAAAGTTAAAGCTGAAATTATACAGCCCTAAAATCTATGGAAAAACTGAATGGAATCAGGATTTCCCTATATTGAATTCTACCTTCAATTTTACAAAAGAGCATTATGCAAAAGTTCACAGGTTCTAGAAAGGTTATCATTGATGAAGTAGCAACCCATTATTTTCCCATACATGCTAAACTCTTTTCATAACTGGAAAAAACATTGTTTCAAAAAATCTCAGTGGCTTAGGAAAGACAGGAGTCTAATTCTACCAATTCAACACTGTAACACTGGCTTTAAAGGGCTGAGGCATTAGGGAAATATGAGCCTTGCATCAGCACAGAGGATGAAAATACCCATGCAAGCCAAATAACAACAAAGGAGATTTCCATTGCCTTCTACTGTATTTCATCAGGCTCTTTCTGGACAGACATAACAGCTCATCATTCATATACACATAAATATGTCTTTGCTTTTCAAGCGGTTTTACTTAACTGGTTTTGTGCTAGTTTTCTTATAACTACTCAGCTGTTTAACCTGTCATGCTTAATCACTTCTGAAATGCTTGAAATTTTGCACCAAGTGCAATGTGAAAGGAAAACTACAGTAAAAGCCTGACATTTTTTAAACTACAAAACCAGAGAATATCACCTCTAAGTCCCACCTGCTACTCCTGCTTTAATTTCTCCCATTCCTCCTTCTCCACATACTGCAGTTTCATCTGGCTGATCTCCTCAGGCACTGTTTTAGGCATCCTTATCTTCCTCTCAAAACGTCCCAGGTCTGGCATGTTGTTTTTCAAATATAGGAAGCATAGGGATCTGGAGGTCAGTATACCCCTAATACTAAGTCCAAATACAGACTATTGTTTGCTTTAGAGGATAGACAACTCTGTAGTAATGTCAGCAACACAGCAGTTGAACTTGCACCCCTGTTTCTAAAAGAGATCAAGACAGATGTGTGGGTTTGACACAAGGTTACTTATATGGATAAGGGGTGACTGTCTTTACCGAAAGGAGTTGGAGAGAGTCATTAAATCAAGGTCATCTGTACAGAGAAGCTACGTTACTCAAGAAGTAAAAAGCTATGGACTCAATGAATATAGGTAAGATTATTTGTCTCTATAATGCGTAAGGTCAGATTTTACTTTCATACTGGTCTGCTCCAGACTTAGGCAGTAATGCCATTTTAGCTGAAAATACTCAGCAGAGATAGAGGTAAGCCAAGAAAACCATTGTGCATCATATTGTGGTTAGCCAGCCTAGACATTATGAGAAAGCTCTTCCCTGTGGATTTAGCCTTTACTCATGATCTCTATGTGTAACAAAAACACTACCCTTATTTTTAATAAGGCACTCCCTTGAAACAAGGGAGCTGGTACCATTTTCTCTAACAGACACCTACTACGCAGCAGTCCAAAGGCACTATAAAATCTCATATTGATGAAACGGACAGTCCTATCATTTTTCTTGTTTTACATTCCTTTCAGAGAAATGAACTCCACTCCCCTCAGATCTCAGCGCATTAGCAAAGAAAGAAATTACCTGTAACCAGAGTCTGTCACCTGAGTCTGTTCCACCATTGGCAGTGCATTGAAAAGTAGCAAATTGCCCTGCATTGACTTCCACACTCTGAAGACGCAAGAAATGGGGAGTTTTTGCTGTTGGAAGAAGATAAAGTATTGAAGTTATGCAACATGGAAGTACTGGCTGTGAATAATACACCGAGCAAATGAAATAGCCCCACTTTAAAAGGTTCAAATCACTGACTACACGTTAGATTTTAGGTTAGTTTACTTCCATACCTGTAAAGAGCAGAAAAGAAGGGTGCTACTAACTGTTCCTGCTGTGTAAATTATCTTAGCTCAGCATTCCTCTTTCAATAACTCTCTATTAATAAAGATCATCTTGGAAACTAATTATGTTTTGAACAAAAACTTATTAGATACTTACGCTACCAACTAGACAAAACAGTAAGAGGTTGAGCGATGTTGTCAGGGAAAAAAGTTTTTCTTTTTAACCAGGTATTGTCTATAGAGGAGATGCTTTAGAAATGTAGCACACCAAACTGCTAAAATACTAACATAACACTTCTCATCAACTACATCTGTATTCTTTAAATGCAACTCTTTTCAACAACACTGCAGAAAAAAAAACCCAACCAAACCACAATGCATTCTCCATACCAATACTTATTTTTCATTTAGAAAGAGAAAAGACTCCCAGTAAAAAATGAGAGCAGTACAGCTACAAATAATCTAACAAATGAAACAGATATTCAAACAAGAACTATGTCCCCTGAAGGAGGAAAGATAACGTGTGTATTTTTGTTTTACTGGTAAGAGTCAACCACATGACACAGAAAAACATAGACATTTGATACAAAAATTTATCCTTGAAAAGGAAGTATTCCCCAACCATTCCAATCCTACTGCAGGCACAGGGACTTTTTGCACTGTCTATACTAGCAGATAAGCCAGGCTCTGAGCTTTGCTTTCAGACATGGAAATACTAGTACTAGCAATAAACTGGCAAACTAAACACAAACTTTCTAGCAGAGCATCAAAACCATTTAAAATGTTGATGATATTTTCTTAAAACACCTTAGCACTGGGAGAAACTGAAGTTTTAAGGAATTTATAAATAACCAGCTATCAGAATTCAAGAAAAGGTTGCTTAATATCTACAGTAAGGCAGTGGAAGAAGGAGGAGATGGAATAAAATAGCCCAAATTAATATCGAACTATGGAAGGAAGTGTTTTCATAATAACTGTCCTTATGGCAAATTTATTAGACATATTGCTTTTCTTTTTCTTAAACACTTCCTGATTTGGACAGACAGAATTTAGGCCAAAGTCATCCTCTTCTTTGTCTATCAAACTGTTAATGTCAGACTATCCAGTAATATTGGTCACAAGGTTCCCCATTTCTCAGTCACTTTTGGTTTTTTACTTCTGCTTTTACTCCACTTGGGTTTTTTCTCAGTCTTCCTAAACTCCAGAAAACTATCCTTTCTGAATTACCCGGTAGTGCCTAAGTGGAGAGGGGCGATAGGTTTTAAAAAACACACAAGCACACACAAGAAAAACCCCACCCACCCACCCCAAGCCACCTCTTTCAGCTCCACGTGTTTACAACTTGCCTTCTACTTGGTCTTTGTCCACACTACCCAGACAACGGCCTAGCAAATGTTTTCCCATTTCAATTTTTCTTTAAAAATTTAATCATTCCAGAAGTATTTTTGCTGGCAACATAGAGAAAGAATAGCCATTATGAGTCTGGCAAAGTTTTAGACATGTGGTGGTTCTATTCCAATTTTCACACTTTTTCAGTTTTCTTGTAGACAATGTAACTGGTTTGATGTCTTAATTTCTAACATTTTAATTACTTCATCAAAGAACTTCTCATTAAAGCTTTTGCATTTCAACACTGTCACGCTGGAACTCCACACGCTGTGGGGTATAACTCAGCTTCCACATTACTTGCAGGTTTTGAGAATTGATTGGTACAAATGCACAGATCAAACCTCTCAAAATCTGTGTAGGAAAAATTATTAAGATGATAAAATGCTGCTTGAGACTTATCCTGCTTGAACCAAAGATATAAATTCAAAATGCAGAAGCACAAATACTGCCTAACGACATGAGAGCCTGCTGTGTTTATTAGAACTAACTGATTCAGAAATAACAGCTGCTGATTCTGCATAACTGTCTCTGTATTTGAAGAAATGTCTGTGTCTTCTTGCCACTAACAATAAAACCACTTTTATGAGGTGCTCTCGTACTAACCGATGAGCTACTTTTTATTTTCAGTCTCAGTTATTACATACACGCCACAAAGAATGCATGCAAGTACAATATGGCTTAAGAGGAAGGTGAACAATTCACAGAAGTAGTTGTCTTTTTCCCCACTTGGTCATTTGGTCAATAAGATTACAACCTACAAACAATTCCATGTATAATCTTAGTACACCTTCTTTAAGAAACAGCAAATATGTGAAATAGTTGTTTATTTAAGTAATCTGTACAATTATGTATGGATTACTATATGAAAGCCTTAATTTACAAGGTTTTGTTTTGACATCAATATTAAAAGAACTTAGGATAGTTTATTACTTATCCTTAACAATGGGACAAGGAAACATATCTGAAACATAGGCAAGTAAAACAGGGCAAAAATTGAGCCATGAACCCAAAGTACAATACCTGGGGCACTAACCTTGCTTAGCAAAGCCTCAGTCATCTGTCTAAGCCTTTAAAAAAACCCATATATATTCAGCTCTTGCACTGCTCATCTGCTCTCATGAATGCTTGTGGCTGCACCTAATTTTTCATTCCAATAGAAAACTGGTCAACAAATCTTGATGACTTTTGTTCTGAAGGAGTCAGTAGATGGCCCAGTTAGGCTCTGGGGCTTATGCCAAACTCTGTACACAAGGTACATACAAGAGATGACTTTAAAGCCAGTAAGGTGCAAGTGCTCAAATGCTCACAACATTTTGTACTATTCGGCCTGGATTTATAGCAGTGACATTGTTTTCTGACATTTTCCACATCTTGCGCTCCACATCTACGGAAGCACGGTGGCACATTGATTTTAGAGGGCTGGCTTTAAAATAACGGATAGGTACTTACTACATGGATGTCCTAAAACTTTCACTTCATCTATAGCCACGTATCCTGGGTGACCTGAAGTGACCACTTCAAAAACAACCTGAGAAGTGAAAAGAGAATTTCAGTTAGCAACTTCGTAACAGGGGGAATGTAAAAATACTCTGTTAAGAAAAAATAACATCAGCTCTTTTCCTATGTTGAGAACACCTCGAATACAAAATACAATCAAGAGACCCTAAAAATGTGTTGATGTTGTCATTACAATGAACTGGAACACATATCACATTTTTTCATGTTTATACTATTTTTGTAGACTTACAAATGTGATCATATATAGCTCCCAATGAGCAATAACCAAATTCCCCCCAAATATTTGGTCTGCCAAAGTAGTTACCTAATGATAACTTTATTTTCAATTATTTTTTCTTGCAGAATAAACTCCTAATTTTATTTTTCAAATCACAGTTCTGCAGTCTACAGAGATTTGCATGGCATCAGACACATACATACCCATTTTCATGAATGTATTTTCCATGTTTTTAATCATCCACCAAATGTAGTGAATTAAATACAGCAGATCCACTTGCCACGGTTTGTTTAATGGCTATAAATAGGTCACAAAATAAATGGACCATTCTTGCCGTTTTGAATTAAGTACACTCAAAAGTAAACCTCTCCAAACTTTTGCAGCCTCAGCTTTGAACATCCCGAGAATGTTTATGTGGAAGAGAAGAAAATATTCCAGTAACATTAAGAAGGTACATTTCCAAACCAATGCTCGGGAAGTTCATCCTCAAAACCAGGTTGTGACTTTTTAATTTTTTTTTAATACTTCCCTTTTGCTTGGAAAGTTAACTCTAATTGCCTCTTAACTATTCTGAGGAAGCACGCTGAGGAAGACAAATCCTAGAAACTACTTTTCATACATATGCTACACTTGACCTTGGAACAGATGCAGAAGGACACTACATACCACATCCTTTACTGCAATTATTTCCGCAGAAAAAGAACGATACAGAAAGGAAACCTGGCACAAGGATAACACACAGCTCTGTAATACTATATCACAGTTTCCTGGTGCTGAATAAACACTGGAGGAGCTCTGGTTCTGATTTTAAAATAAACCTTGAGGCGAGCAAATTCTTCACCACTACTTGCCTCTGCCTTCTCCCATCCATCTCGGTGCTCCATCTGTGGATACCGATCCTGTTCTCTCCCAGGTACTATCTTCCTAAACGCTGTTCATTTCTCCCTCTAAATCTCACTGGAGTGAAACTGCCATAAATACGGCTTTAACTCCATATGGCTGACAGGGAAAAAACTACTTTTCATTCCAGTTCTGTCTACTGTCCACACAAAAATTTCAAGCTACAGTGCCAGTGTTGCCCCCAGATGAAGCAGGCAGTCCACAGGAAAACACAGGGCATCGATGAGAAAAGTCCAAAAGCCACCAAACGCATTTTGCGGAAACAAATTCTGCAAGAAAGGGATTGCTCAGTCACCAGTCGCAACCCGCAGCCTTCTAAATGCCCAACGACACCCTGGTGGTGCTTAAAGCCAATATTCCCAATCCACAGCAACAGACTGGCCAGGGTATGGATTTGGCTGCCAGCACTCAGTAGAGCATCCAGACCAAGTCCATGCAACACTCCAAAGCATCCTACAAAGAAGAAAATCTCCTGGTGGAACTACGTTGGGAGGCAGAAGTTCTTGAAGAAGAAAAAAAGCAAAAATTCTTAAGTAATAACTTGCATTCAAAGACCTGAAAGAGTTTTTTGAACCATGGTCACTCTTAACCTCATCTTAACAGCCCTGAAATGGAAATACAGAGTGGTGATGCCCGCAAAGTAACCCTAAGTTTTTGGTGATGTCCACAAAGTAACCCTAAGTTTTGGCAGCTCTTCTAAGAGCCAGAATGCAGCTCCTGTTTTCACCCTCTGAGTTGGAGATTCTCCCTCTCTTTGAAGCATTTCTCTCTATTAACAAATACGACAAACAGTTGTATGTTCTCAGCTTGCGTTACACTTTCTGAAGGAAAGCGTTTGGTTGTGCTGGTGCCCCTGGAGGAAGGAGGAGACTGCTCCACTTCCTGGGGAGTCACCAGGACTATTCAAAATGGAGAAGGTCTGGAAGACTGGAGGGCATGAGAACCACCTCATAGCCCTGGGCACCTGCAGTTAATGCAGGGATGTTCCAACACGGGAGTGAAGAACAGGGAGCAGGCAGACAGGTCTCAAACAGTGGAAAAGTTTTCTGTGGAAGTATGCTGCCTCTAAGAAAGTAATTAACTCAATCTAAGTGTGGACCTGCCTGTAAAGACACAGGGAGCTGGGGCAGTGATTTTTCTCTTGTATTTCATAGTGGCTTCGAGTTTTCTTTGTTAAGAAGAAAAAAACCAGTTAACTTCCTAGTTTTTACTGAAATGTAACTTAAAAAGAAAAAGAAATACCAACCACAAACCAACTCCCTCTCTTTTGGAGCAGTCATAAGGAGATCTATGCAAAGCCATCCAAAAGGTCTACTTGACCCACGATCCCATCGCGGCACAGCAGAGGTTTTTTCAAGGTTCATCACTTTTGGATACGCTAAATTCTAGAACTGCCCAGGAGGAACTGGCACACGGACACCTCTGAAGCAGCCAGCCAAAGCAGTCACAAGTCTTCCACAAAAAATATTACTGCCAGATAATGGGGATTTAACTATTTTTAAAAAAGCTGCATTAAAGTGCCTTTTCTGAAGAATCACCTGACTTTCAACAAAACCAAACACCTAAACTCAAGAAAAGAAAACATACACAATACCTGAGTAGAGGATTTTGAAATTATTTCTATAATTCATAACTGGGGAGCTTAGCTACTGGCTCTCAAGAGGTTTTAAGTACTTCATGATCGCAATACACTCATGGACAAACAAAGTTTATAGGCTCTAAACGCAAATGCGTTCCTTCAGTTCACAGGCAGAAACTACAGCCTTGAAATAACTGCATCGGACCTGCTTATGACAACTAACACTCAACGAGTGATCTAAAATACCCTGTTGTATTCCTAACATACCAAAAATGTCCTTATCGCAATAAGCCAGGCAATATATCAAGAAACTGCCAGCTGGACATACAATTAAATTACAATTATTGTCATTAAAGAGGGCATGTTGTGAAGAAAAGTAACACAAATTGAAATATTGTCAGTTTAATCACGCTTCCATTAAAAGACTAGCCGAGCTGATATCAGCTTAAATGATTGTCAAGTCTTCTGGTATAAAATATGCGATTTTTAGTAAATGGAAAGAGACACTAGAGTCAGCAGTGACACACCATCACCAAAGAGACATCACTGATGTGCCTTTTACTTCCTAAGTCAAGAACATGGCACCTCTTTCAAGCACAGTAATATAATTTCCATTCTGATCACAGGCTGTGAAATACTATCAACTGCTGTATCCAAATCCAGTATTTTGTTTTACTTAAATTAACAAATGAAGACTGTCAACTAAAATATCTGCCTAACTAAGCACTTTCTCTTTTTACACCAATAAAAGAGAATTCTATCCTACGCATGACACGTTTCTGAAAGTTCCAGTAAGTGTGCTGAACACTGTGCTCAGGAATAGACCTAGGATCACTTCTGGTAGCTCATTTATTCATTTAAAAGCTTGTATTAGGGCTGTCAAGACTATTCACCAACCTGAATCAGTTTTGCTAGCAATTTCACTAGAAATGAAACCTAGAAACTTCTTTCATGTCCATTTTGTTCGCTTGTCTTGTAAAAGTTAACGTTTTCACTACCGCCTCCAAACTTTGCCTTTCCTCCTGGCCCACGCAACGCCTGCGGGCTATATAAAGGACCCCAGGCAAAACAGAGACAATGCTCCTGCAACATCAGATCAGGCAGCCCTTGGATTGTTTGCCTATTATTCCACCACCTTATCAGTCAGGAAACAACCGGTTAAAACACTGAAATCGTTTGCTGAGGAAAAACTGCCGCACGTTGGCCTGAGAGCCGTTTTACACCATTCTCCCAGTCGCAGGCCTGCCAAACAGGAACCAGGGAAAGGGCTTAGCTCTGCACTGTCCCTGATCCTCCCTGCTTCAGTGAAGAGCAAAATTAGCTTTTCATTCCCGCCACTTCCCCTTGCTAGTACGAACAAAGAAAGGGGGTCTGCTCACCGACACAAAAGCTTACTGCTGAAAATGTGCGACTGAAGATAACTTCTCTGTTCCAAAGAACAATAGAAATAAACAGGTTTTGTTGCCATACAACCTCACTCTGTAAATTCCTGCCTTTGTTGTTGCAAAATTACCATGCTTTTAGTCAAAAGGTGGATTGTACCGAATATAAACACACTCTACTTCACACGATTTAAAAATAGCACTTTGCAAAAACAAGAAAGAAAGGAGTAATAAGAAAGATCCTTAATGTCAGGCTGCAGTCCTGCTCCTCCGCAGCCCCGGTAAGGGGGTAGCGATGTCTGACACGCTGCCCACGGCACGCGCTGCGCTCTCTGCCGCCACTGACCGCACAGAGCCCCTTTCTCTGACGTATTTTACAAGGCTTTGGGAGCAGTATCTCCCCAAAAAATTGGCAACGTCTTGTTGACTTGTCCTAGGACACCCCGCTTTATCACGGGGGCACGATCACAAAACTGCCACCTCAGCAAAGCCACATGAAGGGAGGTGCCTGACCTGGTCCTTCCCAGGGCCCACACAAACCCACCACAGCTTACTGACTTGGGCTGTCTAAAACATGGCCAGGCCTCCCTGGCCGGGAGCTCATTTTATCCCACTTCCCTCCCCACCTCCCACTCCCAACACAACTACCATTCGGCACTCGCACGTGCACTCAAGCACATGAAACACCATTTTGGTGGCTGCTGCCAACCCGAGACTCCTAATAAACATCTTCTGGGTGAGCAACACTGAAAACTGAGCTCTTGACATACAGGCTTATTAAATATTATTCTTCTCTTTTTGTTTTGGTTTGGGTTTTTTTAACCAGTTGTCATCTTACCCTTTTCTACTGATGGCCCAGAAGCTTTCTTGGGTTTAGGAACAAGCTCCAGGAGAAAATAAGAGAGTCTTGTGCATGTGACAAAAAGCTTACT